GGACTGTGTCACTGGACTCCCATGTAGTTGACCGAAGTTCAAGTCCGGGACCCAGTGGCTTAAACTCATGCCGGGTGCGTATATGTGCGTACCCAAGATTCTGAGAGGAGAATGCAGGAGAAAGGATTGCAGTGTGGCCATCTCTCTTAGGGGGTGATTTCTCATCTCCCTTCTCTATCTCTGTCTCTCTCTGTAAGTGCAAATACTCTATAACAAACTGGGAAAAAAAAGAGAGAACCGGGGCTTTAAAAAATTATAAGTTGGGGCCAACAGGTGCTATGATAGTTAAGGCACTGGATTCCCACATGGCTAGCCACAGATAGAGCTCCGGACCCGCTGGCTTGAAAAATCATGCTGGGTGCATGTGTGCCCAAAATCCTGAGAGGAGAAGGGATAGTGGTGTGGCCATCCTCCCTGGGGGGTGATTTCTCATTTTTCATCATCTTTCCCCCAGGAGAACATATGTGTGCCCTGTGGCAAAAATAAAACAAAACAAAAAACAGCAACAACAAAAATATACACATATAGTTTAACTTGTTCTGGTAAACAGATTTTAAATTCTATTTCATAAACCCTGATCCTGCCCCATATATATACTCCATGTCATCCGACCAGAAATCTGCCACCACGGCAAGGACTTGAAAAGTGTGTGCTCCAGCTAAGAAGAAGTGAAGGGAAAAGTGGTTCACAGGTGCCTACTCTGGCCCTCATCAATCCATTTTAATGGGGGGTATATTAATTCAGAAAACTCTTGACAGGTTAATGTGGCTGCCAAGAAAACTAATCTACTGGTATCAAATGAAGGAGTGAGAATGAGGAAAGGGGAGGGGAGCGTCCCGCTCCAGAAGGTTCCCTGGCAGCCTGTCTCGCCCTCCTTACCTTCCTGCCGTCTTTCAGCTTGATGAGCAACTTGCCACCGCTGACTCCGACTGACTGCACAATAGCACTGGGCATCACCTTAACCCCCTCTGTAAAGGTAAAGGAGAGCGGAGGCTGAGCCCATGAGCCTGCCACCCTTGTGGGAAGTAGAGCCTCCCCAACAGTAACGCCACCAGTCATCAGCACACAGGCAGCTGTGGAGAGCTGCAAGAAGCTACCCCCGCAATTCGTTTTTAGCCTTGCTGGGAACTTAGTGCATCAGATTCCATACACCTAGATGAACTTGGCTGACTGGACAATGACAGAACATTTCACCTGCCAAGTAACAGGACATAGGCCAAGGGGGTTCTCAAAGAAGCTCACTTTGCCTTAGGCCACACTCAAATGAAATAGAGAGGCCTCATGTGGAAACGCTCTCTCTACCTCGTCTGACTTTCTCCATGGTCCAGTTGCTGAGGTATTCGGGGAGGATCTTTCCCATGTTCCCTTTCTCAGGGAAGAGCTGAATCACTTCTGTGCCCAAAGCTCGAGCTGGGAAGAAAAAAAACAGTAGTTATGGCAAGAGGCAAAAGCCCAGCTGAAGAAGACAGGAAGCAAAGTACAGGAGCAGTAGGCAGCCCATACTAAACATGGGAACTGCCACAGTCCAGGCCAGAGCTTCCACTTGTGGGCCGCAAAGACTGTGGTGCTCGAGGTCATTCATAAGGCAAACACAACAGGTACCCTCGACGAAGCTACAGACCGCGACCTCAGTGCACGTCCACTAGTGCAGTCACTGCTGCCTTACATAAATGCTTTGCGACCTTTGAACGAAAAAGAAAAGAAAAAAAGACGCCCTGATCTCACGTAGCTGAAAAATAATACCAAGAATGGTTGCCGTGAAATCTTCAAACTGCAACTCATAGGTCTGTCAAGCTGCAAACCATTATGTGCCTGAAGGAAGTTTTTGGCTTTTTACCGGGAGCGGCAGTTCAAAGATACACATGGCTCTGTGGTTGCGCCGCCCTTATCATCAGCTGAAGAACTCACTTTCCTCACTATTTTCTTTCTAAGGAGTCCTGGCATAGAGGTTAGAGGAGTGGAAGGAAAGCACTGCTGTTAAGTTGCTCAGATAACAGCTTTGTGGTCACCAAGGGAACCCTCAGCAGCGGTAATCGCAGAGCTTCACTTTCCCCCATGTAAACCTCAATCAAAATGTTTCTAGTGATCCTGGCAAATATCTCTCTGGCATTTCTGAGGGCCCACCAAAATGCATGTGATGTAAGACTAGAGAAAGGAAATCGAGGTCACTCCCCAATGCTCACCCTTTCTGCCAAGAGCACAGGCCAGTTCACTACCAAGGAAACCACCACCAATAATTGTAATCGACTTGACTTCCCGTGAAATCTTCTCCAAGGCTCTGAAGTCTCCAATCTGCAGGATCATACCAGTTTAGTTCACTGATTTCCCAAAGGGGCATAGGATAACAATACCAGGAAATATTTTCCTCTAAGTCTTCGACAACAGTAATTTGCACATAAAATCTCCTCCTTGAATGAAGTGGCTCAATTACCGCTCCTATGATATATATATATATATATATTTCCCATAGGGCACATGCGCTCACTGGAGAGACAGAGAGAGGGAAAGTGAAAAATCTCCCCATAGGGGTGGAGGGGGTATGATCATGCCGTAATTCCTTCTCGTACATTGTCCCCTCAGGATGGGAGGAGGTGATGATGCCACAATTCCTTCTCCTATGTTCTCCCCTCAGGATTTTGGGCATGCACGGACATGCGCTCAGCCTGATTTTCAAGTTGCTAGGTCCAGGATTCTAACCACAGTTATCCATGTGAGAGTCCAGTGCTTTAACCACCATGCCACCTGCTGGCCCCAGTATAGCAGTTTTTATAAGCAGAGCATGGTGTTAAGCAGCAAGTTGTCCCCTTTCCTCTGTCCTTAGGTACTCCTAACTTCCCTCTCCAAAGTCCCTAAATTGCCAAGAGGCTATAAAGAGTTCCAATGAAGCGAATGCATCAGGACAAAAACAACTATGGAAGGAGCTATAGCAAGCAATAAAAACACTAACTCTATTTTTCTCCTAGCTCAAAACCCTTGAATGGGGCATTTGAAGAGCAGAGAGGAGGTGACTGGCTCAAGGCCGGCTAACAAGTCTGGAGAAGAGCCCTAAATAAAACACGGCTCTCTCAATTCCTGGGGGGGGGGGTCCTTGGGGACCACAAGATTACACCACCTCTTCAAAACACAGCGAAAACACTACAGCAGACAATTACCTTTCTGAAAAGTGTTGTTCTGCTCTTCACTTCTGCTCCAGCCCTGTCAATGGCAGACAGATTTCTTGGAGTGCCTCCTGGAAGTAAGAGGAGGAAAACCCTTTAGCTCAATGAGCAGGAGCTAGCCCAAACAATTGAATTGCCCCCAAAGGCAGAGCTCTCTTCACTTAGGACTATGGTATGTGTGCTCCTGCTGGCGCCACTCAGCAAGAACAGGATACGAAGGTTTTGTTTGTCTTCAACTCAACTCACTGCAATTTTTTTTTTAAAAGTCAATTCAATTTCCTTTGAGAAGCAGATCTGTGAGTCTCACTTCAAGGCACCCACCCTCCCTGTACCTAGCTGTCCAAGAGGCCACAGTTTTGCTTCTACATTCTCTTCTAGTTTCTCATGAGGATCTGCCAGCTACCATAACTACACTAGTTCAACCAACTGCTTCCCTCTCTTGATTTCTGACTGGCCTGTGGCCAGACTCTAAAACTGGAATGAGTTATATCGGGGAAGAAAGTCGTCTCAGGAAATACTCACCTGTTGCAATCAAGCACTTTTCATAGGTTATTTGAGAGCCATCATTAAGTTTCACCATGTTGCCTCTCACATCCAGTTGTACTACCTGGTACAGTAACACACACACACAAAAGAGGTAGAGATGAATTAGCTTTGAACAAAACTTTATTGAGATATAATTTACATAACGTACAATTCATAATTTTTTTTCTTTTTTTTTCCAGAGGTTTTTGCCATAGGGCGTGTGCACTCGCCAGAAAGACAGAGAGAAACATAGAGACAGGAAGCAAGAAATCACCCCCCAGGGAGGATGGGCATACCGCAATCCCCTTTCCTCAATTCATAAATTTTTTATTTTGCCAGATGGCGTGTGTGCTCATAGGAGAGAGACAGAGAGGGAGAGAGGAAGCGAGAAAGCATTCTCTATGAGAAATGGTCATAATAGAATCTCCTCTTCTCCATCTCTTTCTCCTTTGGGGATTTTGGGCAAACACACACACACACCCAGCACGGTTCTCAAGCCACACAGCCTAGGACTCAAACCATGTGGTCAGCCATGTGGGGTCCATTTGGCTTAACCACCATGCCACCGCTGGCTCCAAATTTATCACTTTAACAGTGTACAGTTCAGTGTTTTTCAGTATAGCCACAAGACTGGAATCATCACTCCTAAGTTCAGAACATTCCCATCACACTCATACAAACTGTAGACCTATTATCTATCAGCTCAGTAAGAATTAGTTCTGGATCCAAAGTGAGCCTAAAAAAAAAGTAGTTTTGGCCTGGTGGGACAGTCAGTGGCAAACTGAAATGCAGTGCTGGAAACCACGTGGCCTACTGCAGGTTTGGATCCCCAAGTTGGTCTGAAAATCATGCCAGGCACATAAGCAGGGACCCAAGATCCTGAAGAGGTGGAGGGCTGGGGCAAGGGGATCATGTCATGGTGGAACCATCAGGTCTCTCTCTCTCTCGTAACATGCACATGATGTCAACAATGAAATTAATATACTTAAGAAAGAAGAGAAACCATTTCTAAGTAATCATTGGAACCAGTTTCTGGTGCCCAGTTTCTTCCAATTGTCATAAATTCCTAAGCAGAGAACATTACAGCAAGTCAAGATAGCCCCAGAGGTCCTGCTGACTGGTGGAAATGGAGAACCTTTCTTTTTGGCTATTTTGAACCCTTCCTTCCTTCCTCCCTCCCTCCCTCCCTTCCTTCTTTCCTCCTTTCCCTTCCCTTCCCTTCCTCCCTTTTTTCCTTCCTTCTTTTCTTTCTTTCTTTTTGGATAGAGGGTATGTGAGTTTGCCAGAGACAGAAAGAGAGAAAGGACCTCCCAGTGGGGCATGGTCATGCTGCAATCCCTTCTCCTTCACCTTTCTCTCCTCTCAGAGTTCTGGGGCTATACACACCTGTGCCTAGTGTGTCTCTCAGGCTGCCAGGTCTGCCACCTGAACTGTGCAGTTGGCCACATGGGGTCCAGCTGCCTTTACCAGAAGGTCACGGAGCTGGCCCTCAAGCCCTTAGTTCTTTCACCATTCTTCTATGTCCAAGATATTTTGACAGAATGCACTTCATCTTCTAGCCTCCACTAAAAGTCAGTTCCCTCCCGGGGCAGCGTACATATAGAGACTGTTCGCTCACTAGCGCTCCATGGCACGAGGCCCGAGGCCACTGCTGCTGCTTCCAGATTTTTGTGCCTCATTCTCCTTGGAGGGACACCAACCTACACACTTATATCCCTACAAATCACTGCCATCTGGCCACATCCTAGTCACATCTCCTCATTTACTGAAGAGCTTGAACTTGGCTCTCACTTTCCTTCTGTGCCACATGCAGAACCTCGTTATCTATTAAACAACCACTTCCACGTCAAGTATCCCGCTCTCTGGTGACAGTTTTCCATCTTTCCGGCTTTCTACTATACTTGCTTTCACTCTTCTGCCTGCCTGGCTGGCTGTTCCAT